TATATATATATATATGCACTTCCAAAAAAAATGCTAAAATACCCATGCTGCACCACTAGGTGGTTTTGTAGCTTGACTAAAACCTTTTTTATTATTTTCTGATGCAGTCTCTAATCATTATTTACCACCATTAATTAACCTTAGCCCACAGGTAAATATTAACAGTGATTGGATCTAGCTATATGAAAACAAAATGCAGAAAAAAACCTGCGTCATTTTGTTTGGGTTTCTAGAAAACAAAATGAGAGTGGGCATGAACCTCGTTTCAGAAAACCTCCATATGCAGAGTGCAAATGAAGGCACCAAAATCTTTATTTTTCTTAATTATCACTTTGTGTTTCAATCATTTTCAATGAAATATATTGACATATATGTGACTTTTCTTGGACAGAGAGAGTGGCTGCATTGAGCTAACCATTAAAAAACGTTTATATGCAATTGTATGCAGAAATCTAGCCTTATAAAATTGTTTATATTGGCAGCCTGCTCCTTCCAGTATGGCGTCACCCTCATAACACATTGTTCAATCTTCTGAAGCATGTACGATGCCTCTATTTAAAACACCTTATTAGAAACAGCAGAAAATCTCTATGTTTTTAAAATGTAAAATATAATGTAGAATGTAGACCAATGAGGTCATATAATACTGTTATTTTTTATCTTTACACACGTTTTTTTTTCTATCCTAATGGGAATTTGCATTGACTTCCATTTATTTACTGGTCATTTCATTAACCCTGACCCCTTACCTTAAACCTAACCACCCCAGTACATACCTGACCCTAAACCCTAAACTCAATCCACACTTTAGTTCTAACCCACCAATGGTATTTCCCCTTATGGGGACCAGGTTTTTGTCCCCATAAGGAACAGTGCATCCTCACAAAGCTGTGTGAACCTGGAAAATCATTAAAAATCATCCCCACCAGGTAATAAAACATGTACACACACACTTTGTTTACAAACCTAGGCAGTAAATATTACCAGTAGATTACATTTGTATTGTGTAAAACTGCTAAAACAGTTCAGTAATAGATTTGTTTTGGAAGGTAACCTTTGGGGCACCGAGCCCAAAGCACATTTCCTCTAAAGGACAATTACACACATTTTATTGTTATGTTGTGTCGTATTAATTAGTTTCTGGCTGTTTCATTTTAAGACTAAACAATGGGACATAAAATACTGGCAAAGACTGCTGACAGAGCAATACAAGCACAGGAAGAAGTATTGCAGTGTTTTGTGTGAACTGTGTAATCATGGAGTGTTTCCGTTTTCCTTTCATAATACATGGTTAGCTGTGACTTATTGTATTTACTGAGAACATAGTGACGACCAACACTGCCTGTTCTCTCAACAACTTTGCAGGTTACAACCCTTCTGAAGTGCTGACATCTCTGACGAATTCTCATGAACTTCTCAGAAAAAAAACATGAACTTTTTACATTTGTATATATTTCATTTACTGCTTTATCCTTAATGTGCATTTCTGTGGAAAAGGTTGTACCCAATTGTGAGAAAATGCTGTAAAAATAATGCTACCCATTTCTTAACTTTCTGTTACTTATTCATGGTCAGGTTACTGAGATAACAGACCCATTTGAGGGAAACCCAGACATCCCATCCAGGACTTCAGCTCCTCCTAGGTCAGGGCTATTCCATCCTGGTCCTCGAGGGTCACTATCCTGCATTCTTTACTTGTTTCCCTGCTTCAACAGACCCGATTCAGTGATTGGGTTACTTTAAGTTATGTAGAAGATAATCATTCATTCATTCAAATCAGATGCAGAGCAGAGAAGCCTCTATGTCAACCCCTTTGGAAGTACTGACCCTTAGAGAGCCATAATTTTCATGAAAATATCTGTAGTAATCTCACACAATACGAAAGTAAGGGGGTAGAGTTGAGGGGAGGACAAAGAGTGGGCAAACTTATTTCCTTCCAGCCTGCAAGCTCTGAGACTTAAATCAATTTCAAGCAAAGTTTTTGAAAAAATGTGTAAGATCGCCCTATACATCTGTATTCATGAAAAATGAGAGAACATCTGTGCAGTTGACAGATAATCCATATAATCTGACATGTGGACAGTCTGTAGAGCAAAGGGGAAAGCCATGCTGAAGATCCTGAGGTGCAATTAAAGAGTAAAAACTGGAATCATGAATGGACATAAAAATTCTTTGACTTTCAAAACTATGAATTCATATAATATATTATTTAAATGTATTTTTGTATTTTGAGCAACTTTAACATATGACTGCCAACAAAATTTTATACTGCCTTGGGCATACAATGACAATAAAGTTCTATCTAACTTGACATGTATGTGTCTATAGTGGCTGTTGAGGACCAAACATGGACATTCTTGTTCCACAGGATCCTAAAGTGTTCCAAGGCCAGAGAAGATTTACAATTCATGCAGCAAGTTCTGGGTCTACCCCTTGGTCTCTTTTCAGTGAGATATGCCTGGAAAACCTCAAGATCAAGAAGGCATCTTATGCCCAAACCACCTCAGCTGAACCTGTTAAAGCAGAGGAACAGAACATACTCTGAGCTAAGCCTGGAGGATGGAGCTCCTCGCCTCATCTCTAAAGATGAGCCCAGCCAGTCTACAGAAGAAGCTCATTTCAGCTGCTTGTACCTAAGATTTCCTCTTCAGGGTCATGATCTATACTCTATAACCTTCAGTGCTCCCAACAAACTCAATAAGTGTTTCCATCCCCGCTGGCATTGGCACTGTTTTTATTCATTTTTAATAACATTTCCACTTTTACTGCACATCTGTTTTTACTGCACTAATTTGCTGTTTTTTAGCCAGTAGCTGTGTTTCCATTGCAAATGTGCGCAAAACTTTGTCGACATTCTGTTAATGTCGAAAAAACACAGTTTCGCAATTGCAGTGTTCCCATTAAGTAAGAAATTCTATTAAAGTCACGTGTGAATACGTTTGTTCTCACGATAAGTCATTACAAACATGGCGGCGATGGATGTAAACACATAGCATGTTGCTACTGTGACACTAGCGCTCATCATCAGAGGAGACGTCGGCGTCTTTTATCGAGGCTTTCCAGAGACAAGTCCCTACTTGGGAGTGGCTACGTATGCTGTGTTTTTGGGAAATTGTAGTCGGTGAGTTTACTATTTTATACTACTTCTGTGATATTACTACTATTTTTACTTCTTGTTATCTTCTTTGTCATCGTCTTTTTTGCCAGTAGAAACAGCCGGTTGTTGATCACGAGACTCCCGTGATGTGAAAAAAGTGTTTCCATTGCAGATTTGCGAAAAACACCAATTTCTAAACGGCCGAAAAACCACCTCATCCTAGCGCAAAAACATTTTGTCGAAATACATAATTTTTTTCGAAATTGACGTGTTTCCATTGAGCAAATTTATTTTCGAAATCCTAATTTGCTCGTTTTCATGGTCAGTGGAAACGCAGCTTGTGTGAATCTACATATCTAAAACACCTGCATTTCCCCTCTGTGGGACAATAAAGGTATTTCTATTCTATTCTAGTCCATGACCACAACTGAGTGTGGGAATGTAGACAGACCAGCAAATCAAGAGCTTTTTTTTTTTGGCTCAGCTCCTCCTTCACCACAACAGACCAGAATGACCCTCATTTTAAATTGGCTCAAATGCTTTCAATGCAATCCCAGTTACATTCATTAATACTGATGCACAGTCAAGTCTCTTGGCATTGTTTCTATATTGGAGACAGATTTTTAAAGGGATCCATGATTAGTTGTAACATTAGACTTTATTTTATAAACATTTATTTTAACTGTAGAATAAAGACAGTAAAAATACTGTAGGCTGTTTAGTTTTGTAAATTTTTTAAAATACATTTTAACACGGACGGAGCCATTTTATTTACATGCAAAGCATTCTGGGTAAATGATGACGTGGATAGGTCCTCGGTTTGAGCGGGCTACATCCACCCTGAAGGTTAATCTTGGACAATATCTGATGATCGACTCTTTTAAATGAAACCAGAGAGCGTTGACAGAGAGGAGAAGGTAGAAATGACTCAGCCTGTAACTGAAAATATGGATGGAGRACAACAGAGCTGCTTCATGGAAGAAGAACCTCAGCTTAGCCTGTTAGCTTTTGCGCTAGCGCCGACACTATTGCCTTATTTGTATTAGCTCGGTGCCAGTGCAACAAACAAGCTAAACTGAGGTCCTCCATCCATATTTTCAGTTGCAGCTGAGTCATTTTTGTGTTCCCCTCTCTGTCATGTGGATGGAGGACCTCAGTGACGAGAGGAGAATGTGTAGCGCTGAGCTAATACATATATATGATGATAGCGTCAGGGCTAATGCTAAAGCTAACAGGCTAATCTGAGGTTCTTCTTCCATGAAGCAGCTCTGTTGTCCTCCATCCATATTTTCAGTTCCAGGCTGAGTCATTTCTACCTTCTCCTCTCTGTCAACGCTCTCTGGTTTCATTTAAAAGAGTCGATCATCAGATATTGTCCAAGATTAACCTTCAGGGTGGATATAGCTCGCTAGCAGCCTCACACCGAGGACCTATCCACGTCATCATTTACCCAGAATGATTTGCGTGAAAATAAAAGGGCTCCATCCGTGTAACATATTTTTAAACTTTTAGTTTAAAAATGATAAAAATTGAACTTCCTACAGTATTTTTACAGCCTTTATTTTACAGTTAAAAACTATGTTTATCAAATAAAGTCTAATGTCACAACTAATCATGGATCCCTTTAAACAGATTTTTATACAGACATAAACCTTTCCAAAATGTGTTTGTTCCCTTTCTAGTTTTTGAAAGTAATGAGTTAAAATCAACAAGTTCAAAAAACAAGAATTACTGAGATTTGGTTGTCTAACTAGACACTGTTGCAAATGAACACAGTAGAGATTGGATGAAAGAGAAATAAATGTAATCAGTCTTACCTGAGAGCTTCAATATTCCCGTTCTTGTGGACACAGGTGACTTCTCGGGTCTGGTAACCAACTTGCAGATCCCAGAACTTTCCTCCTGGGCGTCTCTGACGATTCTTGTTTTTCTTTTTCATCAGCTCTCTGGTCTCTGGATCCTTCGTCTTCCCCCTCTCTCTTAATTTCTTTTTGGATTTATCTCGGATTTTTTCTTTTTTTCTCTTGTTTTTAGCCTTTTTCTGTTGTTTCTGCTGATCAGCCTGTATGGAAGGTCTGTCTGGTTTCCTGTTTCCTCTGGCCAATTTTCTGTTGAGTATCGATGGTTTGTTGCCGTTTTTAGACTCTTTGTCACCTTCTTTTGAGTTTTTGTCATTTTCTTGATACTGTTTTTCATCATCTCTCATCTGTTTGTTTCTTCCTATTGACTGTTTGTTGCTCTCTCTGACCTGTTTGTCACCTCCTCTGGATGATTTTTCACCCTCCCTACTCTGTTTGTTTCCCTCTTTAGGAGGTTTCTCACTTTCTCTTGATCTCTTGCTTCCCTCTCGGGGTGGTTTTTCAGCTTGTCGCGTTTGCCTTGGCAGAGGAACAGAGCAAGGACCCCAAGGTCCCACTCTGAGGCTGTAGAGGTTCTCCTCTCCCTCACAGAGGCCTGGCTGGCAGGTCTGAAATTCTGTCAGATTTGGACACGCTGCTCCGCCAAACAGTGGCGGTGCGAGCACAAAGCGGATCCGGTTTCGTAAACCAATGCCGCAGGTTTTAGAACATGAAGTCCACGGGCTGAACTCAGACACCACACAGTCCCGAGGACATGGTATGAGACAGGCCTGTTCAAGGCGAGGTTTAGGTTCAAAATATTCACAGATGGCATCTTCAGCCGGTTCGCCGTTAGCTTTCTGAACACAGCCCACCTCCCGGGTCTGGATGCCCTCCTCTCCCCGCGAGCACACAGTCGGGCGCTGCACGGCGGTGCTGCGCATCAGCACCGGGACACACTGGTTCCAGGCGCCCAGCTGCCATTCGTACAGATCTTTGTGCCAGTCGCACACTCTGAAGCAACTCTGCTGGTTGTCTGGCCGCTCCGCCTGGTCACAGTTTGTATGGAGGGTAGTCCAGCCCTCAGAATGAGCGCACCACACTGCTCTACTCTGGCTGCCTCCTGGACCACACTCGCTTCCCATGCAGCGACCCCATGGACCTGTAAGGAGGGAGATAAGGGCGGTTAGAGACGAGTCCTGGTGAGTGGTAACCTTCAAGGCAAAGTAACAAAATGTATGGTACTGATACGGTAGAAGTAAGTAAGTAAATTTTATGAAGTGCCTTTCACAGACATAAAATCACAAAGAGCTGTAATGCTGCGTTCACACCGAACGCGATTTCAGCTTCAAAATCGCAGCCAACGCTGAAGTTTGAAGCTTGTGCACTTTGAGGTCAGACGCAGGWCAGCTSTTGAAGCGCTGCACRGCAACAGCCTCCCMGCCCCTCCCTCCTCTGTCGGGCTCTGTTTAATGTCGGACGAGGAAGTGGCTTTGCTTTATTTACAGAGAGCAAGAGCATGTCACGTTCATCAGATAATTAATTCATAATTAATTCACCAGATAATTCAGAGTAGAGGCTCACAGCTCGCTTTCAGGACTATTTTTCCAGTCTGATGAGTCACTGCCACGCAGTGCTGCAGATATCTCCTGTCAGGACACCGACTGCAGGCACGATTTCAGCTAAAGAGCTCCGCTCCGTCTGTTTCAGGTTAGTGGACATCATTCAGTAAACTGTCCCGTCGGGAAATATGTCTCTACGTCACACAGTGGAGTCTCTCTGATTGGTTGACGCGGCGCGTCGAGCTGCAAAAGTTCAGATTTTCTAACTTCAGCGATTTGCGCCTCAGCGCGTCGAACGCTCAGATCGTTCAAATCGTTCAAATCGCGCTGCTCTAATCGCGCTTGAGGCGCCGCAGTCCTTCCCGACGCTGATTGAAGCGCGTCCACCATAGACTTTGTATGTAAACCTGCTGCTCCTGACGCTGAAATCGCATTCGGTGTGAACGCACCATAAGAACATTTTATTTGACAAGGTTAGTTTGATTAAATTATTTTTATCACAATCTTTTGTTTTACAATAAATTTTGTTAGACAAAGAAGAAATGAAACTAAATTGTAATAAAGAGCTGAATTGGTCAGTTGGGCACTGTAGATGCAAATATAATAATAATTAAATTAGAATAGATTAGATGAGATTTATTGTCCTTGTACAGAGCACAAAGAAATTACAGTTCAGAACACCCTTCAGAAGAAGACAGCACATTACAAACATAGGAGAACAGGTGCCCTGGGTCATGCAGCCACAGACCCTGCACAATAATAATAATAATAATAATAATAATAATAATAATAATAATTTGATTATTTACATTTACAAAAATATCAAAGTGCTATCATCATAACATGTTATGAACACTTTTTAAAAGTCACAATCAGTGGTTTATAAAATATTTTGCTAACAGAGGGTTGAATATAATAGTCAATTCTAAGATATTAGACATGATAAATTATCTGTTGGGGATATCTCCAAGCTTCTTCAATTTTTTTCTTCACTGTAAAACTAACTAAATTAGCCCTTTTTTTTTGTGTTGAGGTTGATTAACTGTGGCGACCATCTCGAATCAGGCTGAGTTCAGATGTTAAATAATTATTAATTTACATCCAAACATCAAGTTTCACTAATATGTATCCAGTAGTTTGAGAGACATTGTAATACAAAACAAACACATAAAGAGAGAAAGAGGCTACATCATTATGCATAACATAACTGCCTTTCAGCGGTGCGCAATTAACTAAATGGGCACTAAATGCTGTAATCTGACTCTTAACGTAAAACTTCCAATGGAAAAATGCTAAATATCAAAACAGTAATTCTGTTTAGTAAAAGCTTTGACTTTTATTTAGTAAACAGTGCTTTGTGGTTTTACCCAACAGATCTGAAGTACAGCAATAAACATGTCAACGGAAGAACCAGCAGGCCACAGCTGCAGGCAGAGGGCTTCAATCAATAAAAATCAATAGAGGAAGGTGGAAAAAACTGCTCCTAATACAAAACACAGCTGCAGCCACAGACCTGACAACTCTCAGTGGCAGTTTTTATTCCCTTTCAACGAAAAAAGGAGAAACGACACAGGACACGTAGAATTTCTAAAAGTGTTTATATAAATAAAATAAAAAACATCTCATTCATAGTGTTAAATTTAAAATAACTGCTACAAGTGATATCACTACAAAATTACTGATGTGTGATTTAGTACAACTAAAAACAAAAGGCTAAGCTACAAGGCTGTGCAGCCATCTGGACTTTGGTTTTCAGCCATATCCTGCTCACTGAGGATGGCGGAATATTTCAAACCTTAAACTATTTGTTTTCAGGACAGCATTATCTCTGTAGCTCGCAGGTGTGCACCATTATTTCTGAACATCTGAAGAGTTGAAGAACCATACCGATCATAACCTCCAACTCTATGAGAGTTATCAAATATCTAATGGCATTCTGACTCCATCTCTACACTAACCCATCCCTGAAGTACTGCCAAGATTACACTGACCGGAAATAAACACAACAGAGTATCAAAACCACGTGTCAAACTCAAGGCCCGCGGGCCAAATGAGGCCCTGCCATAGAATTTTGTGTCACTCATGAGAGCTTCAAAGATGTATTAATATCTTAAAATAAGTGTACGCTGCTTTAAAGCCAGCACTGAATATAAATCCCATAATTTATGTCAATGATTTTACCTGTAAAACGATGACATCCCACCACTAGGTGGGGGTAAAGCAGGATTCTAAATAGGCAATCACTGAAATTCATTGTGTAAAAGCTCCATTTCACTGCATTTTCACAAACTACTTTTGCTGTGGTCAAGCTGCACAGGGAAGTGGGATTTTCCCATTTACAAGTCGTAAAGTTAAACTGGAACTCGCGTCCAGTGGGAATTCCCTGTGGGAGAGTTAAGAAGTCAACACAACAGCTAGTCACCAATACTCAGCTGTGAGTAAAACTCTGTTTACTTTTACTTTTAATAGTTTTTTTCTGTATTATTTCCCACTTAGTCAGGCATACATGTAGTTAGGGAGTGGTGGCACAGAGGTTAGAGAAGATGAACCTATAAGATCAGGGGTTCAACTCCCCAAACCAACAAAACTCACTCTGGGCCCCTGAGCAAGGCCCTTAAGTTGCTTCCCGGGCACCTTGAAAATGGCGAAAATGGAGAATTTTTAAAAATGCAGAGAATTATTTTTTCCATTGAGGGACAAAAAAGGTTAATTTTTTAAAAAAAAAGATGTGTTAGAATGCTGTTTCAATGCACAAAATACCACGTAGAGCTCAGTTACTGTTAGGGCTGTCCTAATGCTCATGTGACCCTCTGTGAAGGAGTTTGACTCCCCTGATCTAAACCATACGTATCAGGAGCGCATGGCAATGGAGAAGCTATAGGTACACACAGCATCTGCACAAATAAACTAAAGAACAAAGAATAAAATTGATGCCAACCCCTCCTGAAAATCAAGATGGTAAACAAATTCACTCTAAAGGTTAGATTTTCATAGAGCGCAAAAACTCATGTATGTGTTCTACTTCAGGAAAATAATTTAAAATGACTTATGAGCCTCATCAATGTTCCACATACTGCATAAATTAAATGTGACAGGAAAGAAAGGTAAATAGGATTTTATGTAAATGTGTTGCCAGAGGAAGACATTATCTAAGCCAATGCTAAGTCACATTATTCTTTGTTTTATGGAAGAAATTTTAGATCTGAAATCTGTTTTTGTAAAAGGAGCCATTTAAAATGGATTGTTTTGTTTTAATGCTGTCGTTTGTAGGGAAGCCGTTACAGTTTTTCACTGTCACCGTCCTCAAATGCAGAAATTAAAGGACTCATTCTCAAATATGCTCATTCGCCTTATGTGATCATATATGTTTAATAACAATTCCTTACTCTATCTGTTCCTGAGGAATTCAAGACAATGACATGTTAATGTAAGGTTTTGGTTATCAAAGAATAACCAATAAAACATATTTTTCTTTAAGCCAAAATGTGCGTATTAAATATTTTATCAACTATGTGAAAATGTCAAGAAACAAGATGTGCATTTCATTAAGAGTAAAGTAGATCTGTTAGAACCTTTCTGCACTGGTTAGGCCATTTTGCCATGACTGAAATAAACTGGTTACATCAGCTTTTATAAATCAGCAACATTTTTAGAACCACACCTGCACAAGTGGAAACCTCAAACAAAAGCTATTTCTATGCTAGTTTCTTTTAATGCTACTTTTGATGAACGGCTGTGGAAGACTTTACTACAGCTCTACTGAGAGGAAACAATAAGAGCATGAAAAATATTTTGCTGCCTTAAAAGATAATTGATCCTGTACACAGTCAGCTTTTAAAGTTTTAAAAGTCCATTGCTGAGATCTAACACCACATTTACAGTTGGTCAGATGTTTTTTTACGACAGAGTATTAGGGCCACACGACATTTTATTTATTTTTTTTAATGACGAGAATAAATTTATAATATTACAATAAAGTCAATATTCTAAAATTAAAGTCACAATACTATATATACCCTTTACATGAAACAGCATATTGTTACCACTGCATTAAAATAAGGAATGTTGAGCAACTTGTTAAGTTGTTCTTTATTGGTTAAAATAGTTAATCTTTTAGCACATTAGCATCAAATAATCAGTAGCAGGACTTGGATTTTGTGCAAACGACTATAAACTGAAGCCATATTGTAATTAATGGGTGCATTGACAGATTTAGTCGTCACGTAGCTAATTTGGATGATATATTAATCTAACAGTGACTCAGGTCATCTGGACTACTTTACAAACACAGACACACACAACAGGTGTGGGGAAAATAAGGTGGAAATGAGGGATGGAAAATGGACGCATCATGTAAAATTATGACTGTTTTTCATAATATTATGATTTTTTTTCTTGTAATATTACAACTTTAATCTTGTAATATTATGAAATTATTGTTGTAATAATAATAAAAAAAACTTGTTTTGTGGCCCTAACACTCCGTCGTAGTTTTGTGCCTTGTTGTTATTCCACTGACCAAAATCACTGAAAGTCAAATAAATGAAAATCAGTCCTTGGTTTTGAATTTTGGTTTCACAAAACTGTTTTCAGAAATAAA